AGGCTGTGGATCTGCACCAGGCAAAGGAAGTGTGGGAACGGGGATTTAGCTCAGTGGTTCCAGCACCTGCCGCGCAAGCGCAAGGTCATGAGTTCAATCCCTGGTACCAAAAAAAAAAAAAATTGGGGCCGGGGATTTAGCTCAGTGGTTTCGCCCCCTGCTGCGCAATCACAAGGACCCGAGTTCGATCCCCGGTACAGAAAAAAAAAAAAAAAAAAAGGAAGTGTGGAAAGAACGGGGTGAGAGCCGGAAAGGAACCAAGTGGACAGAAGAACAAATCCGTGCCACACACCAGACAGAGATGGACGCAAAGGGGACCACAGGTCTAGGTGTCAGAGTGAAAACAACATGTGCACAGCACTGGCCACAAGAGGCAAGATGCAAACGCAACCTTAACCACTGACAAACAGATGAAGAAAATGTGGAAAATACATGCAGTGGAATCCTAGCCAGTCTTCAAAATGGAAACTGCAATACACAGTAATACTTCGGTTCACAAGCACTTTGTTTGCAAACAATTCAGTTCACAAGCAAAAGCACTGGCAACATTTTGCTTCTATTTGCAAACCGCATCAGGTGACCAACATGACCACAGCCATCTTCCCCACACAAACACAAACACAGCCACCTTCCCTCAAACTGTAAAACAAATTAAGTTCATAAACCAAGGCACAGTGTACAATAGTACTGTCGGCTAGGTGGTGCACGCCTGTGATCCCAGCACTCTGGAGGCTGAGGCAGGAGGACCGCTGCAAGTTTGAGGCCAGCCTAGGTTACACAGTGAGTTTAAGGCCTGCCTGGACTACACCAGCAAGACCCTGAGGACCTAATCCTAAATTACGTAGGCCAGTCACAGAAGAACAAATACTGGACCTTCTCCTTAACCAAGTGTTTAAAATAATCAAATTCATGGAAACAAAGAGTGGAAAGATTGTTGCCAGGGGGTGGGTGGAAACACCAGTGGGGGAGTTAGTCAGTGGACATAAAATTTCCATCAAGCAGGATGAATAAGATACAGAGACCTGCTGTGCAGCGCTGCACCTGTACGGGGTAGTTCTTGGGGGAAGGGATCAAGGTCAACTTTTTTCATCTTATTTTTGCTGTGCCGGGGACCAACTGCAGGACCTTGTGTTCCAAGCTGCACCCCCAGCTAGGATGGTGGTGTTGGTTATGCTCCCCCAGGTGGCCTCCAAATCCTGGGTTGGCCTAGTCCTCGAACCTCCGCATCCCAAGGAATGGGGACCCCAGCCAAACACCTCCATGCCCACTTTAAGATTAAACAAAACAAAACAAGATTAAAAACAACAATAACAACAAACTCTGTAAAACCCTTAGAAGAAAATATAGGAGTAAATCTTTAAAATTTGAGTTAAATAAAGCCTATGACACCAAAAACACAAACAACAAAAAAAAACAGACACTGTATTTTTTCCAGAATAAACACTTAAGCTTCAAAAGATACGGAAAAGGAAATGAAGGGCCGGGGATTTAGCTCAGTGGTTTTGCTGCCTGCTACACAAGCGCAAGGACCCGAGTTCGATCCCCGGTACCAAAAAAAAAAAAGAAAATGAAAAGACAGCCCAATGAAGGGGATAAAATATATGTAAATTACCTATCTGATGATGGATTTCTATCAAGGATATACAAAGAACACAAAACTCAATAAAAGACGACTGCTCAATTTTAAAATGGACACCAAACATCGTTTATATTTAACACACTTGCCAAAGCTACCATGCCCCGGAAGGCCCTGCGTGTCCCTGGTTGTCAAAGAGATGCTGTTACGCCGTGTCTAGGCGACCCCCAAACCCTCCTGCGTACGGTCTCAGGTGGGGCTTTTCCAGGGCTGGCCAATTCACAGCCCAGTGCTAGGCCCGGGGGGACTGTGAGTGCTGCCCGCCCTAAGTAGTCTGGATAAGATAAAAGGGGCAGAAGGATGCCCCAAAGGTCCCTTGTTGCTTTTGCTACTGTGTGGGCACCAGGAACTGTTTCCCCTCTGTGACGCCCCTCCCTTGGCCCCTGTTGCTTCCACATCTTCAGCTCCCAGGAACTGTTGCCCCTCTGCCAGGCCACCCTGCCTCGGAGCCAGCCAGTAACAGACTGAAACCTCTATAAACTGTGAGCTAAATAAACCTTTTCCCCTTTAATTTTAGACATCGAGTATTTTGTCTCAGGAACAAGAAAAGTAACTGTGACAGATGCAAATGGCAATGACAGCCAGATGCGGCTCCGACCAGGAGACCCAAGCTCAGATCCAGGATGTGGGCCCATAAGTGCCATCCACACTGCTGGGAGAACGGACCACGAGCAGCCCCCCGGCAGACAGGCTGGCATTTTCCCATGGGACAGAGCTGCCGCCAAGGGTTACTGTCCAGTCCCCTTGCCAAGGCCACACTCGTGGCTCATTCCCAAAATCGCCATGAGCATCAGATGAGGTCCCCCTTCCTGGTCTGAGTCCCTTCCAGGGCATCTTGCCCTTAATCCCACACCTTCTGAACTGTTTTCTCCACTGCAACACAGTGTTGTGTCCTCCACAACAGATCAGTCTTCTGCTGCCTCCTTTCCTGCCTCTCTACCAGAGTCCAGGGCCGAAGTTCTTGCCCGTAAGCGGGGCTCCTGTGACTATGCTGGGGCCATGGCCTCTCTTTCCACCCAGAAGTGGAGAATGACTGGTTTTTGCACTAGATAAAGACACACTAGGCTGGGTGTGATGGTGCCCACCACAATCCCAGCACTCCGGAGGCTGAGGCAGGAGGATCACTGGGAGTTCGAGACTGCCCTGGACTACATAGCGAGACTTGGTCTTAACAAAACAAAACAAAACAAAACAAAACAAAACAAAACAAAGACGTACTCATCTTTCTTGCTGCTGCCCTGTTAGCTACAGGTCACATACACCAAGATGCTTAGAGGGACAGGAGATTAAAGGGTCAAAAGAGAACAGGTATCTAAAACCGGAGCTGGTGAAAGGGGGTGACAGCTGGCTGTGGAAGGAAGCGGGGCTCCATGCAAAGGCTGGCAGGGCCCCAGAAAGCACTGAGGCCTAGAGACTGCACCCTTCTGGGCCTAGTCTGCTGCTGCAGCTCCCAGCTGAGGTCCAAATGAAGCAGTAAACCCGGGATGAGCTTAGCTCCAAAGCTCGCCTGCCCAGGGTGTGGCACGCTGTGTGCCCAGAAGCAGCCAGGGCCACGGGTCCTGAGAAACACGTCCTGAGAAACACAGCCACTTCCCATCCCACCCCACAGGTGCTGGAGCCCTGAGTGGGTCCCACATCTGCACAAGAAAGCCCAGCACCACACGCCCAGAACAAGGCTCAGGTTCTCGGCCAGACCCCAGCTCCCGAGCACCCTGGGGCACAGCTGGGAGGGAAAAGGAACAGGTGGCAAACCCAAGACCTGCCCCACCAGCCTCCAGCACAGCCCTGGGGGCTGGACAACGAACGCTTGGTCCCGTGGGTGAAAGTGGGACCCCAGCTCCTTCTGGGTGGCCAGAACATTCCTCTCTCTCGGCTTCCACCAGATCACAAGACAGGACGCTTTCTAGCGAGCAGCAGGATGTAGAACAAAATCAAGGACCGACTTTGAGAAATGGACACAGGGTTCATATTTTGATGACCCAGTTTCCCTAGAAATACTGTCAGATGACCCTGGAGGCTGCAAGAGGCAGGAGGAACAAGCGCTGCTGGATTGCTGACCCGAAGGCGCTCCTAGAGGCCCACTCCATACACCAGGTACTCCCTACCCTTTGGGACCCTCATTAACCCCAGTGGTGACACGGAAAACTGTGACCTCCCCAAGACCAAGGGACACACAGAAACCTCATGTACATGGTGCTCTGCTGTGCTAGGTGTGAGATCTGGAACCCTGGCCAGGTGACAGCTCATCAGTCCACACCACAAGCTCCCCAGCTCCTCTACCGGAGTGAAGTGAAGTCCGCTGGCCCTGGGCCCCTTAGTTCACCCTTCAGTCTTATGAGCAAACAATCTCAAGTGCTCAGAAGAGCCAGCGAGCTGGGTGCAGTGGTGCACGCCTGTCATCCCAGCACTTAGGAGGCTGATGCTGAGGCAGGAGGACTGCCACGAGTTCGAGGCCAGCCTGGGCTACATGCAAGACTCTGTCTCAAAAACAAACAGAAGAGCCAAGAAGCCTTCATTTTCCTCATTCCAAACTTCCAGCTGCAGAAGTTGGTGCTTCTCATTCCCATGGAGCGACTCATAAATAGAATATCACAGGCGAGGAGAGAATGGCTGCAAGAGGCAGAAAACAGACCCTAAACACATGGCACAAAAACACGGTCTCCAGCTTCAAACACAGTTCTACCTGCAACTTCCTGGCAGAGGCTGCTGGACAGTCTCAAAGCGCTCAGGACCCTCAGGACGGCCAATCTAGGACAATTACCACCGCGATCACACCCTCGGCACCACACAGCCCAGGAGGGTCAATGTCCCAAGAACAGGAAGGTCACATTATTCCCACCGAGAACCCTCCCACAGGTACACTCTCTTCCTCACCCAGCAGTCTCATCCCTGAGAGCCCGAGCCTCTCTGGGTGCCGTATCTCGTTCAAGAAGAAAACAAAAAGAAACCCAGAGAGGATTCCCCCCGGGAGGGGGAAGGAAGCCTGGAGAATGGGAACTTAGCACAGCCACGCCAAATGGCCACAAACAGAGGGATATCCAGGCGGGCCAGTGCCCCTGGCTGTCATCAGGACAATAATCTGGCAGCTGGCTGGCAGGAACTAGAGTAACGCACATGGAACAGCAGGGGCAGAAGCGATCCGGCTCCCAGGCCTTCCCTCCGCGGCAGACTGCGCGAGGCGAGAGCAGACAGCCGGGCAGGAGGAAGGAGGCGGCGGCGCATCGGGGGACACCAGGCCTCAAGTGGCGCGGGGTGCACCCGGCCGGACGCGTGCAAGGGTGGGCGGGCGTGCAGGCAGCTGGGCGGGGGCGCAGGGCGCGGGTCGGGGCGCAGGGGGCGTGGGGCGCGCGGGGGTGCTGGTTACCGTGTGGTTCACCCCCCACATCAGCACGCTGAGGATCGGCTCGCTGGCACGGAATAGCTTCACTTTCTGGCACACGAAATGCTTCTTCTTGGTCTTGGTCTTGCTGGCGCTGAGCGGCGCCACCGCCACCGCCGTGGTGCTGGTGCAGTTGGACGACATGCCCGGGGCGGCGGCGGCGGCGGCGGCGAGAGGGGGCGGCGGCGACAGCGCCCAAGCCAGCGGGCCCAGGCCTCCCCGGACCGATCCCACCCGCGGCCTCACCGCGCCATGGTTGCGCCCGTCCCGTTACCTCCCCCCACCCTGCACGGTGGTTCCGTCCGCCTGCGCCCCGCCCCCCAGCCAGCCCCGCCCCGCCCCGTGCTCCCCGCCCGCCGGCCCGGACCTCCGCCGCCCGGGTGGTACGGCCCGCCCGCCTCGCACGCGCGCCTGACAGGAGCCGGAGCGGCTTCCCCACGCCTCAGAGGGCCGGGCCTCCGCGGGGAGACCAGGGAGGGCCGGGAAGGCTCGCGTGTGCGGCGGCGCGGGCGCCCGACCCGGCCCCCCGAGCCCAGATTCAGCGCTTTCCCTCAAGCTGAGGTGCCAAGATGGCGGCGGCGCCGCAGCTCTGGGAGGGGGAGGAGGGTGGGATGTACCATCCCCACCCCGGGGGAGAGCGAGGGGGCACAGCGAGGAGGAAAGGAAGTCCGGCCTGCAAAAACGGGGAACGCCCCCTCGCTCCACCCGCGCGTGGACCCGCCCACTCCCCCCCGCCAAGGGCGCCCAGCACCTCGGGCCACGCCTCTCTCCCCCCGGGCCAATGAGAGGAGCCGGCCGGGAACCCTGGGTTTTATGAATGGGCTCCGCGCCCACCCACCTACTGCCCGGCCTAGGCCCGCGAGGGTCAGGGGAAGAGGCGGCCGGCGCCTTGGGACACCGTCCTGACAATCAGCTCCTGCTCACCGCGAGAAACCTGAGTAGCCTGCCTACACGCGGTTACATAATTCCTCCCCGAAGAAGGATCTCCCCATATTCGACAGGCGTCATGGGTCTATGCAAACTCAACACTGCACACGGTGGCTTTTACAGTTACAAAAATAAATGTGGCCTTTATTACAAAGTAATAAAACAAAAAGCATAATTAGCCGTAGCATCAGCAGCAGGATGAGGCGATGAAATGCATAACAAGAGCATGTCACAGTCTCTCTGGAGATGAAGTGGGTTTTAAGCATCACAAGTGTTCAAAACTGAAAATCCCAATGCGTTAGTTCAAAGCTGGTGAGGAAGGAGAACAAAGGAATGGCCCAGCTAAGGTGGGGCCCACTGCCGGGCAGAGTGGGGGAGTGGGGCCCTGGGTCCATGCCAGCACCATACACACAAAAACTGGGGTAAAGAAAAGCCCCTGGACTTGTTTCCAGAGGCTCCTGGCCTCACACTCACAGCGACCCTCCCCCAGAGTGCTGGGACACGCCCAGCTTGCTCCTTGAGACTTCTGGTATTGTTTTTGTAACATCTGACTGAAAAATACTGGATTAGCAAACTCCTCCCCAAAACCCAAAACTGTAGTAAGGTTACTACATGATTTAAAAGGAAGGAGGCAGGAGCACACGGGCAGCGTGGTCCTGACTCCTACATTCCCCAGGGACAGGAGAGAAACCCATCCCTTCCACCTGGAATCCCAGGGCCCTCCTCAGCCACTTGATTTAGGCTGAAAACAAGGTCACTCGCCTCGCTGTGGTTCAGTAAGGAACAGTCACTTACAAACAAGGTGTTCTCACCAAGAGTGCTTTTAACAGCGTGTAAAATAATACATTAGTACCTATGCACACCTTCTGCCTTTACACTTCAGAACCATTTAGGTCCATCAGGGCTTGCTTTGCTGTTTTCTCTCCCTGGTTCGGTCACTATCTTGGCTCTGCCCTAAGTGGACGTCATCCTGTCACTTTATCCACATGAATCGAGGAAATGTTCACTTGTCCGGGTAAGCACGATCCAGCCCGTGACTCGGGAAAGGTTTCCAGCAGGTCCAGCCTACACTGCGGCAGGGGAACGGGTGGGAGAAAGGTGCGGTGAAGACCGAGCCCAGGCCCCCACCAGCCCAGGCCAGGAGAAGGCCCCCACCCTCGGACACCCATCTTCACCAGGCTCACAAAGGGGCCAGGGTCACTTTGAACAGTGCTGCTCCACGACTGTGGAAGAAGTCGCCCGAACTCTTATAAAGAGGATCGTATAGGGCTGGTGGCCTCCCCAGGGACATAGGAAGGCCAGCACAGGACGGCGCTCATCTCCTCATGAAGTTCCTCTCCAGGGCCACCGAGGTCCGCTGCAGGGAGTGGATGTTGCGCTTCACCCGGTCCTCGAGGGAAGATGTGGCTGCGCTCTCCAGCTTCATGCGGCTGCGAGACAGGGATGGAGGAAAAAAAACGTGTCACCTGCTCAGCTCCGGGGAATCCAGAGAAGCAGGGCGCCAGCCGTGGAGCAGCTGTGCGAACCCAAGTTCTCTGGAGCCCGAGCACAGTGTCAAGTGACTCCGTCTGGAACTACATTTTTTATATGTCCATAAGGGAAGATTCATCTGTTTGGAAAAGAAGTCAAAGTTTCACTGGAAAACGGCTTCATGGGCCATCAATTCTTATTTAACAAGAAGGCCAAGGAATTTCAAGGATTTGAACCAGGCATGGTGGCACACACCTGGGATCCCAGCACTCGGGAGGCTGAGGCAGGAGGATTCCCGCTGCAACACTGGGGACCCAGTGAAGCGGATGGGCTCCCCCAGAACTGTCCCTATGGCACTCACTGGATGAACTTGCCATCACGAGAGTCGAGCTGCTCCAGCCGGCGGGCTCGCTCATCCTCGCGCGCGTGCCTCCTCAGGGTGTTGAGCCGCTCCTCCTCCCGCCAGCGGGCATTCTCCAGCATCTCCTGCCGTTTCCGCTCCAGTTCCTGGGCTGAGAGTTTTCTGTGGGGCACAGAAACCGCCCGGTCAGTTCTACTTCTCTGCCAGCAGGCCCCACAGGGCGAGAGGCCAGGCAAACCTGGGGTCTCGGGCCAGGCTCTCTCCAGGGAAACGCCTAGCCCAGCACAGGGCCAGCACGTTTCCTTCCGACTGCCATCTTGGTTGGCCAGTCACACCCATATTTTTATTTTATTTTATTCATTTTTAAATTATTTTGTTTTCATACTAAGTAGCCCAGGCTGGTCTTGAACTGGTGGCGATCCTCCTGCCTCAGCCTCCCAAGTGCCGGGATCCCAGGTGTGTGCCAACACACCCAGCTTCATCCAAACTTTCAAGACACTGGGTAAGGATTCCATGAAGCCAGGGGTGGTGGCGCACACATCATCCTTGCACTCGGAAGGCTGAGGCGGGTGAGGGCTTGTTGACTGCTGTTACAGAGGAGGAGAAACAGTCCCAAGCACCCACCCCTGAGAGAAGCTGGCAGTGTCACACTGCAGAACCAGGAGCTCAGGTGCTGCAGGCACCATGGCCTGCAGAGGGTGGCAAGGAGGCGAGGGGCTGAGAACAAGGGGACGCACTTAGCATCTGTCCCAGGAGCAGATGGAACATTCTGGTTCTGCCCACCTTGGGGACACCAGGGCTGCCCTGGAAACACAGGAGACCCCGGGACGCATGCTCTGGGGAAGCCACCACTGGAGGAGACAGAAGCAAGAGGCGCAGTGCGAGAGCAGGCAGGGACGCAGCAGGGTCCCAGCAGGGGACAACAGTGGTGTCCACCTACAAACCGCTCAGACCCAACACTGGCTACAGACACACAGTGCACTCAGGCCATGCTGCCTCTCTCAGACAGGGAGACATCGGAGAGCTCAAGAAACCCTCAAAATTGCCTGCCGTGGTGGCACACACCTGTGATCCCAGCACTCCAGAGGCTGAGGCAGGAGGATCGCCGTGAATTCAAGGCCGGCTCAGGCTACACAGTGACACACTGTCTCAAAAAGCAAAACAAAAGCCAACAGCAACAACAAAAAAGAGGTTTTTTTTCAATACTATGTGACTTTGAAAGAGGCATGTATATTAATCTGACTAAAATCATCCAAGAAACTGTAACTGTGTAATAACTGTAATTAATCCAAGAATAATTCCATTTTCACCCAGGTGTGATGGTGCATGCCTGTAATTGCAGCACTCGGGAAGCTGAGGCACACAAGTCTGAGGCCAGCCTGGGATATACAGCGAGACACTGTTTCAAAAAACAAAAAGGAAATAAAAAGAATAACTCCATTTTCAATTTTCATTTGGCACTTTTGTTCTACAGCTTACAAACCAACAGGAATTGGAGTCACCTCTGAGGTATGATGTGATAGTAGTAGGGTTGGCTTTGTGCATGGTACTTAGTCAGGCATGGGGGCTCACACCTGTAATCCCAGCATTCTGGGAGGCTGAGGCAGGAGGATTTCAAGTTTCACCTCAGCTTGGGTACAATTTAGAAAGACCCTGTTGCACAAAAAGAAAAAAAAAAGTGTGGGTATGTAGCTCAGTGCAAAGGTTCTGGGTTCAAGTCCCACTCCCACACATACACACAAAAAAAGTGATATGTTGCCTGCAAAAAATGTAAAAAGCAATGAAATTAACACAAAATTAAATGGGTGGCCGGGGATTTAGCTCAGTGGTTTCACCACCTGCTGTACAAGTACAAGGACCTGAATTCAATCCCTGGTACCAAAAAAAACCCAAAATTAAATGGGACTACCATAAGCCCAAAAAGAGCATGAGAAAAAATAGACTCAGTCTATAAAAAACATTTTAAATTGAGATCTCAGCTGGGCTTGGTGGTACATCCCTATAACCCCAGCGCAGAGGGAGGCTGAGGCAGAAGGATCCAAGATCAAATCTACCCTGGGCAACTTAGTGTCTTAAGACCCTGTCTCAAATTTTATTTATTTATTTATTTTTGGTATCGGGGATTGAATTCAGGACCTTGCGCTTGCAACGAAGGTGGTGGCACCACTGAGCTAAATCCCCAGCCCTCTGTCTCAAAATTTAAAACAATTAAGAAAAAGAGCCATGAAGGTAATTCAGTGCAAGGACCCTGTGTTCAACCCCCAGTACCACAAAGAAAAATAAACAAATAAATAAGAAATTCTCTGGACCACAAGAATGGCTGAGAAAATAAGACAAATCCAAGCAATGGCAGATGGCAAGAGACAGAAAAATAAGGCAGAATGTGCAAGACAGTCATGCACCGCCCACCTGCACAACGGAAGAGACCAAAGTCCCGGCCCTGCCAGCATCTGAGGGTGGCATGAATGATGGGCCAGCTGAGGAGCGGTCCCCTCACAGATAAAACAGGAAGTTATGTGGATTCCTGCCACCTGGGACGGGAGGGGGATGCAACCTCCTCTGGAAAGCTGCCAAGTCACAATAATCCTGCCTTTCCCGAGCCTCTCCCAGGTAACTTGGGGAACCAGGCAGCTTAGGGGCAAGAACAAAGAGCCTGGCTCCTGACACTGCCCACGCACTAGAACCACAGGGGGCTCCAAAACTGCTGGTGTCTGAACCCGAGCCTGGGTTGTGCACCCATCCGCCCAGTACTCTTTGAGGCTGAGGCAGGAGGATTGAAAGTTTGAGCCCAGCCTGGGCAACTTAGCAACTTCCTGAGACCCTATCTCAAAATTTAAAAGGGCTGGGGATGTAGGTCAGTGCAAAAGCCCTGGGTTCAATCCCCAGGATTGCAAACAAACGAACAAGAAACAAACACTGATATCTGGTCCACCTTAGAGCTGATGGTGTAACAGGGCTGGGATACAGCTGGGCAGAGAGCTTTGTTGCTGCTGCTGGAGCCCTGGAGATTGACCCCAGGCAGTGCTGAGTTATACCTCCAACCTCTTTTATTTACTTTTTGAGGCAAGAGTCTTGTAAAATTGCCTGAGCTGGGCTCAAGTTGTGATCTTCCTGCCTCAGCCTCCCAAGGGGCTAGGATTATAGGCGTTTGTACCCAGTTTGGGATTTTTTAAGTGTCCTGGGTAATTCCAATGGATGGCCAATTTATTGGGAAATGCTTGTTTACACGAAAGCTGCCCGTGCCATCTAAACCCTGGCCCAGAGCAGGCTGGATGCCAGGGACAGCCCCTGGTGGGCACAGGGGCCACTCCTCAGTTCCTGGGGACACCATCCCTGTGCTGAGCCAGTCCACACCCACTCTCCCCACAAGGAGGCCAAATGCCTGGACCAAGGACACTCTGGCTGCAGCACTGGTGGACAGCTGTTATTCCAATTACTCGGGAGGCTGAGGCAGGAGGGTCACAAGCTCAATCCCAGCCCGGACAACGTAATGAGATCCTGTCTCACAGTGAAGTTTCAAAAAGAGCAAGAGATGGGCTGGGGATTTAGCTCAGTGGTTCTGGCGTCTGCCTTGCAAGCGGAAGGTCACAAGTTCAATCCCTTGCACCAAAAAAAAATAAAAAAAAAAAAGAGCAAGAGAAGTGGCTCAGGGGTAAAGCTCTTGCCTAGTGTGGTTTCAATCCCCTGCACTGCAAAAACCGAAACAAAAGAGAAACCCCCAAGCTGACCTTGTCTTCTCAGGGTGCCTGGGGGAGGCAGAGCTCCCGAGCACCTCACCTGGTGTAGCCGGGCTTGCGCCTCTGGGAGTGGGCCTCTTTCTTCGGGGCTGGGCTCCGGCTCGGGGCCCGCTCTCCGCGGCTGCCCCTCCCGCTGTGCCTGCAAGGACCCAGAGGACCCAGCTCTTCAGCTCACACAGGGTCTGAGAACTCCAGTCAGAGGCGCTGTGCCCAGGCTGCAGGCTAGGAGGTGATTTCCCAGGAACCCCACACTCACGCTGTGCTGTGCCGTGGGGACCGCGACCTCCTGTCCCTGCCGCTCTTCTTGCCCGAGTGTCTGGACGGGGAGCGGGAGGAGCTCGGGGACCTGGACCGGTTATTCATCCCAAAGGCGCCCTTAGACTGGGCCACCGAAGGGCCCTGAGGCCCCCGGTCCTGGGCAGAGTGCCGGACCTATTCATGAGGGAGGGAGGAGAGAGGCGTCACCAGGCATCCAGCCTGGGCAGCAGTCGGAGACCCTCGGGCAGGCTGGCAGGGACCCATGGCAGGCAGGGCCCGGCACAGAGAGAGGCGGCAGGGCCAAGGCGAGGGGACAAGTCACAGGTCACAGGTACCAAGGGACACCCATTCCTGTAAGGCCCATGTAGGGCCAGGCACAGTGCAGCACACCTGGAATCCCGCACTCGGGAGGATGTGGCAGGACTGCAAGTAGTAACCTGGCTTCAGCAACTTAGCAAGACACTGTCTCAAAAAAAAAATTGGGGGGGCGGGTACCAGGGATCAAACTCGGGACCTTGCACTTTCGAGGCAGGTGGTGGAACCACTGAGCTAATCCCCAGCCCTTGTCTCGAAAAAATTTTAAAAAGGGATTGGGGTATAGCTCAGTGCAAAGTCCCTGGGTTCAAACCCGTTAAACACACACACACACACACACACACACACACACACACACACACACACACACACACACACACACACACACACAC